ATAGGATAAATAATTCCAGGTTTTACCTTTCTCTCCTCATCCTAGGACTCACAAGGCCCTTCACCCCCCCCCCCCCCAAAAAAAAGGCAGAGTTTGTGTTTCACACAAGAGACACTGGCTCAAACTTCACAGGAGGAATTTCTAATAATCAATGTAGAAATCAATCAAAAAGGTCCATTCAAATTTTTTATGTTATATGAATCTTTGTTTGAAAAACCTGAATTCTAAAACCAATTTATCAGGACTTTCTTATTCTGAATCTAAGACTGGCATCTAAATTCCAGCAGGAACCCCACCCAATGTGAACAAATCAAAGAAAAAAAAAGAAAGGAAACATTATCTCCTGATCAGTGAATGCAAGTTTTATGTGAGATTAATTTGGATTCTCATGTGTATCATCAAGGGTTTCATTCAAAATTAAAGTCTTTACTTTGTGCCCCGACCATTCTTTAATTCCATAAAACGTACATAATATATCCAATCATGTTCTCAAATTGTTTTTACACCTCTGATTGGTTTGAAAGATTAGTTTATTTTTTTGTTTTCTGTTAATTGGTTATGAAAACTAGTTATCAATTGGGTTGAGTTCTTAGCACCAAAGGAAAAGCTGGGACTTTAGATTTTAGTCTATAATACTTAAGCTAGGTTGAGGTAATCACCAGAATCATTCTCAGGATCAGTCTCATTCTCGTGTTTCTGGATTCAGGTGTTTGTTTGGATTGCATACATTTCAGGTTGGTGTCAGGTGATCTTGATTCCCTGCTGAATCCCCCAGGTTGAGCATCTGGATCGCAGACGTGTGTGTGTGGATGCATATTCAATGCGTAGTACTGTTCGGGTGTCTGCGCAGCAGCGAGGCTCTTCCCCGGGTGGACTGTTGATGGTTCCCCCACTCCGAACAGCCCAGACTGCCAACTGCCCAACCTCAACCCACCAGACACTCACCCTCAACCTCAACCTCAACCTAATCACAAATAACAGTCCATTCATCATGCTGCACGCCTTCCCTCAGCAACAACAACAACAGCAGCAGCAGCAGCAGCAACAGCAACAATCAAATCAGTCTTACTTTCGTTCATCACCACCATCCAATCCAATCCAGTCTCAACCAAACTCAGCACCACTCGCCTCAAATAATCAAGGCAGACTGAACAACAACACTAATACTACCACCAACTCCACATAATCAATCCACTCACAACTT